GTATGTACCTATCCTTTTCGATGACTATTGTAGAAGTAACAGTGTTATGATCGCTACTGCCAAAATGCTCTCCTACCAACAGGTCTAACACTTGGCCCGGTTCATTGCCAAGCACCAAATCCAAAGTGGCCTCTCCTCGTGTTGGTCTATCTGCATACTGTGTCAGGACTCCTTCCTGAACGCACTGGACAAAATCCGCTCCATCTAAACTATTACAACTAAAATATTTCCAATCAATATTTGGAAAGTTGAAGTCACCCATGACTACAACCCTGTGACTTCTACACCTTTCCAGTATCTGCCTCCCAATCCGCTCCTCCACTTCTCTGCAACTATTTGGGGGTCTGTAAAAAAACCCCAACAAAGTGACTGCTCCTTTCTTGTTCTGGACCACAACCCAAACTGATTCTATAGATATATCATTCTCGAACTGCCTTTCAGTAGCTGCTGTACTATCCCTGACTAGCAATGCCACTCCCCCGCCTCTTTTTCCACTCTCCCTATTTCTTTTAAAGCATCTAAATCCCGGAACTTCCAACAACCACTCCTCTCCCTGAGTTACTCAAGTTTCTGTAATGGCCACAACATCGTAGTTCCAAGTACCGACCCATGCTCTAAGTTCATCCGCCTTATTTCTGATACTTCTAGCATTGAAGTATACACACCTCAAACCATCCCCATGTCCACATTTACGTTACATCGACCGCATTTCTTTATAAACAACCTCACTCCTTGTTGTGTCCACTGGAAGGCTGAATACCTCATCCTCTGAATTATAAATCTGGTTCCCCACCCCCTGCCAATCTAGTTTAAACCATCCCGTATAGCTCGAGCAAACCTCCCTCCCAGGATATTTGTGCTCTTCCGGTTCAGGTGCAACCCGTCCTTACTGTACAGGTCCCACCTTCCCCAGAATGTGCTACAATTATCCACATAATGAAAGCCCTCCCTCCTATACCAGCCCTGTAGCCACGTGTTTAGCTGCACTCTCTCCCTATTTCTTACCTTGTTATCACGTGGCACTGGTAGTAATCCAGAGATAACTACCCTATTTGTCCTGGACTTCAGCTTCCAACCTAACTCCCTGTACTCGTTTTTCACACTCAGTCGTTTTTCTACCTATGTCATTGGTACCGATGTGTACCATGACTGCTGGTTGCTCACCCTCCCCCTTAAGGATCTTGAAGATACGACCCGAGACATCTCAGACCCTGGCACCCGGGAGGCAACATACCATCCTTTCATCTCGTTCACGTCCACAGAACCGCCTGTCTGTGCCTCTTACTGTTGAATCCCCCACTACAATTGCTCTCCTATTCTCCCCCCTTCCCTTCTGCGCCACAGGGTCAGGCTCAGTGCCAGAGACCTGTCCGCTATGGCCTTCCCCTGGTAGGTCATCCCCCCCCCAACAGTATCCAAAACGGTATACTTATTATTGAGGGGAATGGCCACAGGGGATCCCTGCACTGTCTGCCTATTCCCTTTCCCCTCCTGACAGTCACCAAGCTACCTTTTTCCTGTACCTCCCTGTAACTCCTCTCTATCACCCCCTCAGCCTCCCGAATGATCCAGAGTTCATCCAGCTCCAGCTCCCTAATGCGGTCTGAGGGGAGCTGGAGTTGGGTGCACTTCTCACAGGTGAAGTCAGAGGGGACACCAGCAGTAACCCTTACCTTCCGCATCCTGCAAGAGGAGCATGCAACTGCCCGAGCTTCCATTCCCTCTACTCTAGATTTCCAGGAGAATTTAAAAAAAGCCTTAACTTACTGACCCACCACAGTCTTTTTTTTGGTTAGAGGAGGAGGATGGGTGGGAGACACTACACGTGTAGTGTTTCGGGTTTAGCCAATGCCCGAATATATCAGTTCTTTCCTGGCTTGCGTTCTCTCCACACACTCGCCGCTGAAAACAAGAGGGCCGCTGCTGCACGAGGTAAGTTTTTATCCTGGAAAAAAAAACCTTACCTTCCCATCGGCACTCTGGCTCACGCTGCTGCCGCTGAAAACAAGAGCAAATCAAGAGCAAACTCCATAGCTAATCAAATGTTTTTGAAATGGTGTCATTGTTGCAATGTAGGAAACTTGCCACTTAATTTACACCCAGCAATATACTACTTATTTGATACCAAGAACTGGAAAGCAGTTTCAAAATGGATTACTTTGAATATTTTCCAAAACAAGAATCAATACTTTTAATCCTCGTCTAACACACTTCGAAAATCCACTTGTACAGTGTTAGGAGCAGAAGTTGAAACTCAGGTAAAAGAACAGAATTTCTAGTAGCGACTCTGGTCTGGGAATCCCTAGCAAAACTGCAATCAATGGCTATCGGGGACAAAATCTCTGCTGGTTGGAGTCATACCTGACACACTGGAAGATGATCGTGGTTGTCAGAGGCCAGTCATCTCAGCTCCACGACATCTCTGCAGGAATTCCTCAGGGTAGTGTCCTCGGCTCAACCATTCTTCAGCTACTTCAATGACATTCCCTTTACCATAAGGTCAGAAGTGGGGATGTTCGCCAATGATTACACAATGTTTAGCATCATTTGCAACTCCTCAGATACAGAAGCAGTCCATGTTGAAATATAACAAGACCGAGACAATTTCCAGGCTTGGGCTGAAAAGGAGCAAGTAACATTTGCACCACACAAATGCCAGGCAATGACCATCTCCAATAAGAGACAATCGAACCACACTCAATGGTAATGGTACTTGTCAACATCCTTGGGGTTACTATTATCAAAAAACTCAAAGGACCTGCCATATAAATACACAAGCAGGTCATAAGCTGGGAATACTCACCTCCTGATTCCCCAAAGCCTGTCCATCATCTACAAGTCACAAGTCAGGAGTGATGGAATACTTCCCACTTGCCTGGATGGGTGGAGCTCCAACATCACCATCCAGGACAAAGCAAAACAATCTACCTGAATGGCACTACATCCACACCCTCCACCACCGACGCTCAGTAGCAGCAGCGTCTACTATCTGCAAGATGCACTGCAGAAATTCACCGAAGATCCTCAGACAATTCTTAAAAGTTTCTGCAAAGATCTGTAGCTCGGGTTGAGGGTGAGGTTGTTGAGTTGCTCGGCAAGCTGGCTTGTTGTCGTTCAGACGTTTCGTCACAGTACTTTCCAACCCACGACTGCTTCCATCTAAGAGAACGAGGGCAGCAGATACCTGGGAACCTCACCACCTACCAGATCCCCCCAAACCACTCACTGTCCTGAATTAGAAATACATTGCCGTTCCTTCACAGTTGCTGGGTGAAAATCTTGAAATTTCCTGCCTTACGACATTTTGGGTCAACCTACATTATGTGGATTGCAGCAATTCAAGTCAACAGCTCATCAGCATCTTCTCAAGGGCAGTTAGGGATATGCATTAAAATTGCTGACTAACCAGTGACACCCACATCCCATGTGTAAACTAAAAAAAATTTTTACATTAATGGAATTGTGGTTCATCCAGATCATGGAATTTGGCGATGCAAATACAGCAACGAGGACCAAGAGTGGTGGTGTTAAAGTAAAGCTGAATGACATTAATATACACAGAGGTGGGAAAAAATTACAAATGACATCACTGAGCAGCAGATATGGATCAAAACTAATAGGGAGGCACTGTCAAGTTCACAGTTGGGGGCCACCGGAGACAATGGCGGGTGGGCAGGGATAGAAGCCATTGTGGAAGATTCTCTGGCTGTTGTTGGGCAGAGAATAATGGATCCAAGCATGGTGATTTCAAACCAGTGGACAACAGAGGAAAGGTGCCGTTAGCATGGCCAACTATGGCAAACGCTGCAGACAGGTTGAGAAATGCATTATGTTAGTGCACTCCAAACAGAGATGTAATTTGTGACTTTAATTTAGACTGTTCTAGTGCTATGGCATGATGAAACATGGAGTTGTGAGAAAAAGGACCAGACACTAATTTACAAAGCATGAACATCTAAATGAACGAACAAATGAATTATTTATTGTCATATATTTCTTGAAGATAGAGTGAAAAGTATTTTGTCGCCACAATCCAGCGCCATTTAAGTTACAATAAGGACAAAAATAAATTAAGTAAGAGTTCATCTTCTGTTCAAATTGGGGTCTAAAGCACAGTTTCAGGGCTTCTGCAAGGTGTCTGGATGGTGTTCTGTTCCATCCCTCAAGGAGTCCCACTCCGGGAACAGCAAAGACAATGCAGATGCCTCAGGAGACGCCAGCTCTGCTGCCAAGAGTCCAGGCCTCATCGCCAACGGCAGGAGACTCCTGGCAGCCGGGGCAGTATGCTCGGAGTTCCGATTCACACTGTCGATGCTGCAGTCTCCACCCTGCCAACACTGCTCCGGCCTCAAAGATGAAGAAGACAAAGTGAAATGACGAAAAGTTGAAACAGAAAACGACTTGCCAGCCTGGAGAAGATGGGCTCCAACAAGCCTGAATACTACATACCATGCCAGTGCCATCTTGAACGTGCCTAGTGATGGAGAGGCAGTTTGCAAGGACAGAAAACTTAAGAGTGGTTTTTTGGTTTGGAGTAGGGGGAAGGATGGCAGCAGATCTGAAAGGGAGGGTGATAGCACCTGAGAAAATTCAACCATTGTGGGCCCTAGGAAGGCAAGTTAGGTGGTAAACAGATTAATGGGAATAGAGAGTCATAGAGTGGATTTCATAAACAAGATGAGCTTGAAGAGACCATGGTGGAATAGGAGTCAAGCTACAGAAAGATGCATGTTAAGGGCTGAGGTGGAAAGGTCTGTTTCGTAGGCGAGAGAAGGATGTGGCAACTGGAAAGTTGGTCTGTCTTTAATGTCTTCAAATTGAAGGTGGTTGGTCTGTTTATGCCATAAAAAGAATAAAAAGTTAACACATCATTCAGAAAGTTAACAAGAGACAATGTTCAAATAAAGTATATGTATATCACAAAAATGTAAATATTCTATGTGGCCATATCTTTTCAACGACTTCCAGATGAAAGTGGGGTTATATAAACAGGAATTTACCATTAGGAAAGGACCCTAAGGCAGCAGAAGGAACACCAGCATAAATCCCACGGAACCCTCCAGCGTTGTAGAATCCCTGCTGACTCTGTAGTCTGGTTTTTACGGTGTCCAGTGGGAAGAGTGTCAGATCCACACACATTCCTGCCAGGCCACCAGCCTAAAATGACGAGGGTAAGTTATCTTGGCATCATCACTTTCATAAACGTTTACATACAGACTGCACTTTCAAAAATTTACTTGATACTGAAAAGATCTTTATAATATTACTTCTTATGGCATAAACTTTTAAATCATCCAAATTACAGCGTCAAAACCAGGTAACACTCAGATGTGCAAGTTAGATGGATTGGCTGTGCTAAATTACCTATAGTGTTCAGGGATGTGTACATTAGGTGCATTAGCCATGGGAAATACAGGGTAACAGGGATAGGGCAAGCAGATGGGTCCAGATGAGATGCTCTTTGGAGGGTTGTTGTGGGCCTGTTTCCACCCAGTTGGGATTCAAAGATTCTTCTAAGAAGATTTCTAAAACGTCAAAATTTTATTATTTTTCTGTGCCGTTTCAGGGCTTGTCAATTTGCTGAAAGGACAGTTTTTAAAAATCACAAGATTGTTATTATTACAAGATTGGATTCCTGTTTAGTATACAGCATGACCTAGATGCTCACTGTGATAAACTGGCATTGCTTCAGTTATGATCATTGATTTTTCAATGTGGGCATCACATTAAAACCAGAACACACAGTATTGCATGTGATCATATCTTTTTCACTGTTTATAACATCTTGACACGAACGAAATCAATTCTTCATAATCACTCCTACTTATTTGAAATTTGAAGACCTTCTTGCAAATCTTCTTTGTGGTAAAAGATGCATGTAAATGTTGGGATATTTTTAAACTTTGGCTTATTACTGCTTAAATGAGCTATGCATTGAAATTGTTTCTCTAAAATCATTGAGCCTAAGGAATTTGTTAACCAATGAACACTTCTCACCTATCGAGCTAAAAGGTCTCTAGCCACAGGCACTCTGATGTACCCCCATGTAACGCTCACAGTAAGATCTGACAAGCTGCTGGAGGACACTGTCACACAGATTTTAAAGTTTAGAATAATATTTACAATCAATTTTAGTTTAGTCAAATAAAATGGCACATTCTTTTCACAAACTGTTGTTCGTTGTATGGTATTATGACACAAACTCAAAGTGAACTAAATGAGTCCGAAAGTAACTGCTGCTTTGTTCATGCACATACTGAATTTGTACCACAACTCATCCAATTTAGTATTTCTTTTGTCAACTTTTGAAAAGAGGGAGAGATGACATGGTTGAGCTATTAAATGCATATGAGGCACGGTTGGACTTAGATAAATTTAGAAAGCTGTAAGGATATTCTTTAGAATATGTAACGGAACTTAAGAAAATATATACAAGATATCAAAAATCCTGTTGGGAGATTCTGAATTCAGTATTTGCCTTTAAATTGTTGTACTGTGCTAAGGTGTCAAACATGGATGGGTTCCAAATATTAACTGGAGATACATTTTCAGGAGCAAACATGCCCTTACAACAGAAGACCGAAGTCTTAAAAGAAATCTTCAGAACACATTCATTCGCGCTGGCCTTCTGTCTCAATTAGTAATAACACAATGGACAGCAAACTTCACAGTCAGTCCTCAAATAAAGGCAAAATACTGCAGATGCGAGAAATCTGACATGTTTAATAAAAGGTACTAGAGAAACTCAACGGATCTGGTAGCATCTGGGGAGAGAAAAACAGTTAACACTGAGTCCAGCTTGACTTCAGAACTGGAGTCTCTCCAGCACTTTGTTGTTATGCGAGATTCCCCAGACATGGGCCAAAAGCATCAATACAAAGGAAGTATCATAATTAAATGATGTGAGGATAGAGATACCTCTGGCAATTACAACAAATGACAGGAATTGGCATACTATAACAGAAGAATGAACCCAGGATTGCCAAAGGTATAGTCAACAAGTGTTTCAGTTGAGACTCAAAATACTATTCTGCAGTTATTGATCTCAATTGAATAACAAGGTATTTGAAATTACGAATTGTACAACTGGTCAGCATGAAAAGAAAGGTGATATTGATCAGGCAAAGGAAATTGCACTAATTACAAGAAGCTTTAGCCTAGTAATGAAAGTCTTACTTACTGACCTCGCATTGGGGCATCACGTTGGCTCAGTGGTTGGCACTGCTACCTCGCAATACCAGGGACCCGGGTTCGATTCCACCCTCGGACAACCGTCGAGTGAAATTTGCACATTCTTCCCATGTCTGCATGGGTTTCCTCCAGGAGCTCCTGTTTCCACCCAGCTTAAGCGGATTGGTTAAGTTAGATTGCCCAGTGATGTGCAGGCTAGGCGGATTAGCCGTGGGAAATACAGGGTTACAGGGTTAGGATAGAGGATGGGTCTGAGTGGGATGCTCTTCAGAGGGTCAGTGTGGACTTGATGGACCAAATAGCCTGCTGCCACACTGTGGGGATTCTATTCTATTCTATGACACCTTCAGGTGTGCTGCGATGGACACTGAATACATATCCACAGCATGAAAGTAGATTGGTTAAAATGCTACCTAGATCATTTAAATAACAAGAACCAAAGTAAGGTTAAGGAATTTGAGACTTCTACCTGCTTTAGATTGGGGATGATAATATATAAAAATCAACAAACACAGTGATGATTCCCCGTAAAATAGCAGGGGTAAACCATTATCAGCACAAATGCAGTGTTGGGTGAAATATTCTTCAAGTTGTGTCGGCTATGAATAAGGCTCAAATGAAACCAAACATGGGACAGGTCAATGATTTTTATAAAGTCAGTGAATTTACAGTCCACACATTTTGTATTCCTTTAACAAGACCTAACTCTAATCAAGATATTAAGCAGGTGTCAATGGGATGAGTTTAATGGACAAAAGGCTAATTCTCCTAGAATTACATTGGCAAATTCTCAATCCATCTTTTAATATGTTACTAAAAGTTTCAGGAGTAAGGGATAATTAGTATACTAAGCTTAAAGAGGGGATAATCCCTAAAAGTGATGCATGTTAAAAATAGGGACACTTTTGAAATTATTTCTTAATGAGATTATAACAATGGATTTGAAAGTTTGGAACATTGAAAAAGAAATCAATTTACACTTCATCAGCGTAGCAACTAGATTTATTCCGACTACAATAATAGATAATAAACATAATTTCCTAGGTGGGTAATTGTACTTGTTAGTGTGTAATTGCTGATGATAATTAAAAGAAAACATAAACATGAGAAAAAGATAAACACCAGTTTCGAAGCATCAGCTAAATTCCAAACTGAATGAGGGAGATTTTGCCAAAGACGAATTTAGGGATGTATGAAAAAATGCAAGATTATAATAACAGACACAGCATTGATTAATGGGCTATTACTACATGAAAGCATGTAGTAATAGGTAAGATTTTTTTCAAATCATAGTGGACCAACCAAGTTGTTAACATTTGCCTCAGTGTGGGCAAATAGCTCACTGTAAACGGTTATGGAACTACAATCCATATTAATTACTCTTTGGCATAAATTCAAAACTTCTTTCAACAACTAGTGTCATCTCCCACTTAAGAGACTAAATTGGTTCAACTTTTGCTGAGCTCTCGTAAGCTGCATGCAGGGGAAAGGGCATTTACTAAAGCGTTATGTTGAAGGCCATCAGAAATAAACTTTAATCCATGGAACATGGTATATGACCAAAGGGATGAACAGAAAGAGTGGGTGAAGTTATTGGTAGAGATGGACAAACAGTAACTTAGCGACCAAATGGCTGGGTTTATTCCTCAAATTTAACTGGCTTGGATTATACAGAACCTGAAGGTATGAAAGAGACGAGGCACCATGTACTTGATGTACATACATATGAGAAATTAGGAAGTCCAAATTACAGCAAATGAAGGGCTGACTGAGTATGCACAACATGATGTGGTAATGCAGGAGAAGACTTTTTGCCCCAGCAAACAACTGAAAGTAAGCACCAAAGTTACACTGATGCCAAAAGAGGGCCAATGATTAGAGGAATGTCATCATTAAATTAACAGGAAAAGCCACCAACAAATAAAAACACGGACTAAATGTGAAAGGTAAGGGACGAGGTAAATTCCACAGATCGGCAAAACTAAGGGAAGATACAGAAGACCAGAAAAAGCAGTACAAGATTTGAAACTGGACCCAGAAGTGAATATTTCCCTCGTAAAGAACCACAAACTTGCAAAACAAATTTTGATCATTGGGGTGGGGAACCTTGGAGCAGCAATCCTGAACAAGACAGAAGGATAAATAGTTGTAGATTGACAAGAACAAGGATAATGAAACAGACATGCAATATCATGAGAAGTTGAAGTCCTAATAATCAAGACGTTTCACTGACAATGGACAAAATAAGTTTATAAAGGATGTTGAATAACAAGTGTTGGGAGCTGAAAGAATTTGGTACATTCAGATAGGTACCAGATGGGGGACAGCCAGCCTAATCATACAGATGAATTTGCAGAATAAAATACTCCCTGATGGGACAATTAAGGATAAAGTCAGACGAATGTCCCAGGGTTTTGGACTGAAACTTGCTCATCAAACATTTGCATGGACTCCTCTGGTGCAGGAAATGTGTCCTTGAAAATTATCTCAACACTTTCATATAAGTCAATTGATACAAAAGCTGTTTCAGAGATAGTAGGAACTGCAGATGCTGGAGAATCCGAGATAACAAGGTGTAGAGCTGGATGAACACAGCAGGCCAAGCAGCATCAGAGGAGCAGGAAGGCTGACGTTTCGGGCCTAGACCCT